TTAAACCAGTGATGGCGAACCTTTTGAGCTCGGCGTGTCAGCATTTTGAAAAACCCTAACTTAACTCGGGTGCCGTGTCACATATAGAAATTTTTTGATATTTGCAACCATAGTAAAACAAAGACTTATATTTTTGATATTTATTTTATATAGTTAAATGCCATTTAACAAAGAAAAATCAACCAAAAAAATGAATTTGCGTGTCACCTCTGACACGCGTGTCATAGGTTCGCCATCACTGGGTTAAACATTGCTTTCTCCAGATCTTCATCATTTGTACAAATAGTCACTCACACGCTAGTGTAAACAAGCCACTCAGATCCCCAGGCCCAGAGACCGGGGTCAGGGAGCTGGGAGTGGGGAGAGGTGAGTGGAGGGGAAATGGAGCAGGAGAGGAATGTGGAGTCTGTTGCAGACAGAGTCTTCTGACCTTGAGAGTTTGCCGGGAGCTGGAATTTCCGAGGACCGTTGGTGTCTGCCCGGCAAATTCCATGTCAGGGAAGCAGAGGCCCCAGGTGCCGGCAGGCAGAGCAGGCAGCGCAGGAGGAGCGGCCTCCCCGGGGGCCAGTGCGGAGGGCGGCCGCCTGGCTCTGTTCCACTGTGACAAGGTGCCCTCCGCGGCCGGCAGGCCTGCTACTTGCTGTCTAATGACCAAGTGCTCAGGGACACACCGACCCCTCCGGGCTGACCCCTGTCGTTTTCTGCCTTAACTCAAGCCCGCCCTGCTCACTTGCCCTTTCGACCTGTGTGTGTTCGGCTGGCACGGGGCGAGGCTGCCTCCGAGGTCAGCAAGCAGGGGGAGCACCGGACGTTTCATGAAGGAGAAAGGACCACCCACTGTGGTCCTCGTCTCCTGTTCCCAACGCGGGGTGGGCAGAGTGGGCTGAGGGGGCACCAGTCGTCCTCATGACAAGGGGTGACGCCCAGCTGCCGTCTTCTGGGCAAGCCCTCCATCCACTCGCTCCAGAGGGTCCCCGACTTCCACCCTCTATCACTCCTGGGTTTTTACGCTGGTCTGTACCAACTCTGCTTTGATCTCCTTACTGTTTTCCTCCCAATCGATGCACCTTTTTATGTAATGAAGTGTATTTAGTTATTTATTTTTAAATATATTTTTATTGATTTCAGAGAGGAAGGGAGAGGGAGAGAGAGATAGAAGCACCAACGATGAGAGAAAAATCATGGATCGGCTGCCTCCTGCACACCCCCTACTGGGGATCGAGCCCACAACCCAGGCAAAGTACCCTGACCAGGAATCGAACTGTGACCTCCTGGTTCATAGGTTGATGCTCAACCACTGAGCCTCGCTGGTCGGGCTTAATGAAGTGTATCTAAGCAGGAAGCTTGCCATTACTATAACCATGAAAACCGGCCTGCCTTACCATAATAGAAGGCACAGATAGAAAGAACCACGAAGACACTGAAAGGAAAGTGATGTGGGCAGTTTTCAGTGGCACAGGACGGCCGGCGGGGCTCGGGCGGAGACCTGCTCTACGGGCCAGAGGGGAGGAGAGTGGGCCACACAGGTGGAAGGCCAGAGCAGCACTAGCCCGACACTCCCTCTCTGCTCCCAGGACCCAGAGAGCGTTGAACGAGAGGAAGGTCCTCATGCTCTCCCGTCCTTTGCCTGCTCTGTGCCATCTAGTCATCTCGTGTCCTCCCTGGTCCCGGGAGCCCCACACCTTGAGAAATATTCCCAGTGACACTTTGGGACAGTGGACACCCGGCCCCGCAGTCCCTGGGGTGGGGAAGGGAGCCTGAGGTGGGGCCACACTCAGCTCCCAGGGAGGACCAGTCTCGGGATGTGGGCCACGGCACCGGGCCTCTCAGAGGTTGGGAAGGGGTTGGCTTGATGAATTTGGGGGGCTCCTGGCATGTAGAAAAGCAAGGAAATACCGCCCGGCCAGTGTGGCTCAGTGGTTGAGCGTCAGACCTATGAACCAGCAGGTCACGGTTCGATTCCTGGCCGGGGCACATGCCCGGGTTGTGGGCTTGATCCCCAGTGTGGGTCGTGCAGGAGGCAGCCGATCCATGATTCTCTCTCATCATTGATGTTTCTGTCTCTCTCTCCCTCTCCCTTCCTCTCTGAAATCAATAAAAATATATTTAGAAACAAACAAAGACATACCCAAACGGGTCCCCCAACAGCAGTAACGCTTACGACAAAGACAGGCTGTTACCCTTGACTGGAGAACACTCCACATATCGCCATGAGGCCTGGTGCCTTCTCCTCCCACCCCCAGGCTGGGAAGGCATCATCCCCCCTTCCCTGGGATGGGGAAACTGAGGCCCAGAGAAGGGAAGCATCTGAGCCAGGCTGTGCTAGGCCAGGCGCTAGCACTGCCCTCCCCCTCCCCCGCCAGGCTCCCCATGCCTTCTCTGAGGCTGTACCCCCACCCCCTGCAACCCTGGTCCTTGATGCTTCCCAGGCCCAGGGAATCCCGGTGGGGCTTTGGAGACCTGGACTCCAGGCCGTGTCCTGGGGCTCCGATGGCTTCTGTGGCGTCACGGCTGCCTCTGTGGGTCCTGGCTGGTGGCCGGGGTCGCGTGGCCCTCGGAGGCCTCTGGGCTCTGCGTCTTGCGCGTCCTGCATGGAAGTCTGTGTGGGCCCCTTGGGAGGTGGCTGCCAGCGGCTGCTCCAAGCCTGCGTCTGTGGCTTCTCTCTCTCTCTCTCTCTCTGTCCCCTCCCTCCTCTCCCCAAGTGCCTGCCACAGAAAAGCACCCGGAAGTGCAGGTGGAAGACACTGATGCTGACAGCCACCCCCTCATCGCGGAGGACAAGCCACCCTCACCCGAGCGGCTGCCACCGTCTCCTGCCAAGTCCGACACCCTCACAGTCCCGGGATCGGCCGCAGGGACCCGCAGGTCGCCTTTTATGCTTCTCATGGGCTTTCCGCAGCACCGTGCCCCCTGCCCATTTGGCAGATGAGGAGACTGAGGCCAGAGAGGGGAAGCAGCTGGCCCGAGGTCACTCAGCGAGTTGGGGTTAGAACCGGGACCGTGCCCTCCCTTGCTGGTTCTCCTAATTCTCTATAAAGGACCCTCCAGGGAAGCCCTGTCCCTACGACCCTCAACTGCATGTTAGAAGGGGGTAGGATGTGACAAGCCTGAAGTCTACCTCCCCTTTTTTAAAATAATTTTTTTAAAAAAATATGTTTTTGTTTCAGAGAGAGGAAGGGAGAGGGAGAGAGAAAGAGAAACATCAGTGATTGAGAGAGAATCGTTGATGGACTGCCTCCTGCACGCCCCCTACTGGGGATGGAGCCCACAACCTGGGCATGTGCCCTGACCAGGAATTGAACTATGACCTCCTGTTCATGGGTCGATGCTCAACCACGGAGCCACGCTGGCCGGGCGAGGGCAGTGACTTTAAACTGGGATGGGAAGGGAGGAAGATGTTTAGGCCGAGGCCCGGCTGAGAGATCAGGTTCTCGTTGCGCTGGGTGGGTTTAGTTCCGTTTTACAGAAGGGAAAACCGAGGTGGCTCCGAGAGTTTAAGTCCCTTGCCAAGGCCACACACTGGGAAGAGGCAGGGCTGGATTTGAATTCAGGTCTGCCGGAGACCAAGGCAATGCCGTTGTTTTTATGCTCAGCCATTGAACGGATGTGGAGACTGAGGTCAGAGAGCAGCTGCGAACCTCTCCTCCCCTTTCCGTGTCCCTGCAGGGACGTGAGGACCCTTGGGCAGCAGCGTCTCCTGCCCCATCCCCACCCAGGATTTGGCTCTGGGTGATCTGCAAGGGCCCGAGTCGGCTCCCTTCCCCCGGGGCCTGCCCTCGCTGAAGGCCCCTTCCATACTGTGTCCTCGCAGGAAGAGGCTGTCCTCCCAGGATGAGGAAGCGGAAGAGATCAAGGAACTGTCGCCGGCTGAGACCCCTGTGGTCGCCTGGTCCGACCCCCCCACCCCGCAGGGCACCGAGTGAGTGGGGGCCACGCCTAGGGTCTCAGAGAGTCAGAAGGCTGGGGGGATGGGTGGGCAAGAGGAGGTGAGTGGGCGGGGGGGGACCCTGGATGCTTTAAAATGTGTGTTTATTGATTTTTGGAGAGAGAGGAAAGGAAAGGGAGAGAGACATCCATGAGAGAGAAACATCATTGATTGGCTACCTCTGTACGCCCCACACTGGGGGTCAAGCCCACAACCTGGGCAAGTGCCCTGGCTGGGAATTGCACCGTGACCTCTTGGTTTATGGGTTGACGCTCAACCACGGAGCCACGCCAGCCGGACACCACAAGGCAGCCTCTGCCAGTGACTTCCAAGAAGTGAGACGAGGCTGGGTCTCCAGATCTGAAAACACCAGTGTTACACTCAGCTCAGTGAGGGGGCAGGGAGGCCACTCAGAGGAGAGCTGACTTACATGTCTGCGTCCAGGCACCCAGGGCCCTCGCCACACGCTGAGTGGCATGTCAGGCAGACTCTCGTTTGTTCATTCATTCGTTCGTTCGTTCATTTATTCATTCATTCATTCATTCATTCATTCATTCTCTTTCTCTTGCTGTGAGTTCATAGTTTAAATTCCTGAAAGTTAAAAAGATATATAATATATCTTTACTCTTTTCCCCACCTCCAGCTATTTCTGAAGCTTAAATAACTAGCCCTGCCCCACCCCCATCTGTCCCAGACACGTATCTCAGGTGAACCCCACACTAGGACTGATAGCCCTGAGCTGTGTTCACCCCTAAGTCACAGTGGAATCAAAGTTTTTTCAGAACTGCCCATCTGACTTGGAGCCTGCACGGTACATTTTCTTTTTAAAATATATTTTTATGGATTTTAGAGAGGAAGCAAGAGGGAGAGAGAGATAGAAACATCAATGACGAGAGAGAATCATTGGTCGGCTGCCTCCTGCACACCCCACACTGGGGATGGAGCCCGCAACCCAGGCATGTGCCCTGACCGGGATGTGAACCATGACCTGGTCCTTAGGTCGATGCTCAACCACTGAGCCACGTTGGCCAGGCTGCGCAGCGCATTTTCTGAAAGCTGGGCCCTGGGCGTTACTCCCAGGCGGGACTTCCTGCCAGGAGATGACAAAGTGGGCTCTGAGGTCCAAGGGATTCACCTCCTCAGGCCAGGTGGGGTCAGCTCTTGCCGGGGGCACAGGGGTCCCTTCCCACGTGGTGTCTCCATAGCGACCAGGACCGGGCGTCCTCCTCCGCCAGCCAGAACAGCGCCGTCATCAACGAGCGGCTGCAGGAGCTGGTGAAGCTCTTCAAGGAGCGGACGGAGAAGGTGAAGGAGAAGCTCATTGACCCGGACGTCACCTCGGACGAGGAGAGCCCCAAGCCCTGTGAGTCCAGAGCTGGGACGGCCACCCAGCAGGGGTGGGGTGGGACCCCTAAAGCCTGTTGACTCATGGTGAAGGTGGCCCCCCCAAATGATTGAGGTGTTTGAGAGCAGCCACATCCCCACTGTGTGGATTTTGGGGTCCTGTAGGTACAGGCTTAGCTATGTACCCAGGGGAGGGAAGAAGGTCCCAGTTCTGACCAATGATCTAGTACTTGGCTCCCCTGTCGAACAGGGCAAGTACCCTCATGGACGCTTCTTTTATTATTATTAAATATATTTTTATTGATTTCAGAGAGGAAGGGAGAGGGAGAGAGAGAAACATCAATGATGAGAGAGAATCATGGATCGGCTGCCCCCTGCACGCCCCCTACTGGGGATCAAGCCCGCAACCCGGGCATGTGCCCTGACTGGGAATCGAACCGTGACCTCCTGGTTCAGAGGTCAATGCTCAACCACTGAGCCACACCTGGCCAGGTGACCCTTCTGTCTTTATCCCCCTGGCATCAGGCGGTCCACCCTGGGGCGTATCTCGGGGTCTTACACTCAGATGGTGTCCATAACTCACTGTGGAACCAGACGGTCTTGTCTTTCAGATGCCTCACTAGCAATACTCTCATGGGGCTACCTGAACGTCTTCTGCTTTCGAGGTGCCAGGAGGAAATGAGGAGCCTGCTTTGTTGCTGGGGTGGGGGGTGGGGGTTCTAGGTCTTTCCAAAGGAGGACCGTGCCTTAGAGCTCACGGTGCCAGCAATGAGCCAGCAGAGCCTGCCTTTGCCATCCTACCGCTAGGAACTTGGCCATATTGCACCTGTAAGAGCCAATCTCTAGGTCACCCTCCTCGCCATCCACTGGCTGTCATCCATTCGGTGTCTTGTTTTAGAGACAAAGGAGCCGAGCTTCCTGCTCTGAGGAACCTAGAGCAATGTTGCCCTGGTTTCTGACCCTGGGGGGTGGAAGTCCTGGGTCCAAGGCACTCCTGGCCCTGCGGGGGAACCAAAGGGATCCAAACAGATGCACAAGCAGACACTCAGCTGACACATCAACTGGCCCAGAAGCGCCTCCTGTGGGCAGTTCCAGATTGGTGGCTGCTGAGCGTTGCTGGACGGGGGCCCAGTCGCTGTGAGGAGGGAGCTTAGGGTTTTCCTCCAGGAGAGCTCCCTGGCGTCTGCTCACAGAGCTGGGAGCAGCCTGTGGGACGGGGCCAGGGTCCCTCAGCCCCAGTGCGGGGTCTGCAGCTGGGAGCCTTCTCCCTGCATCCCCTGCCTGAGCCTCAGGGCTGGGTCAGGGGTGACCAGCGTCATCCCACAGCTCCCGCCAAGCAAGCCCCGGAGCCGGCCGCGGGCCCTACACCCGCTGGGGAGGCGCAGGCGGAGGAGGAGCACTACTGCGACATGCTCTGCTGCAAGTTCAAGCGCCGGCCCTGGCGGAAGTACCAGTTCCCCCGGAGCATCGACCCACTGACCAGTGAGTCCTGGCTGGGCCGTGGGCATGGCCGCCACGTGACACGAGAGGACGGGAGAGCGGGACGGGATGGAGGGGCTGAGCCAGACGTGGGCTGGGAGGCCGTGGACATCCAAGGCTGGGACCCCGAAACAAACACACACACACATCCCTGGAAGGGGGCGCACGATCACAGCCATCCGACAGACACGGGGACAGAGGCACAGAGAAGTTCTCCGCCGACACACACAGCTGGTGCTGGCCACTGGCCCCTGACAGCTGACCAGGTCTTTCTGCTCAGCTCTTGCTGGCTTCTTCCTGGAGGTGCTGCTCTGAGCAGAAAAGGGAAGTTCTTCCCACATCTGAAGGGAATCCCCTCTTTTAGCCCATTTACTATTCCTCAGGAGTGACAGTCCTTCATATGTGCGTGGCTCTTTACAGTTTACAGAGAATCTTCCTGCCTTTCTTATCTGAACTCTTAGGCCTGAGCCTCAGGGCAGGGCAGGTGCCACAGAGGGGCTCTCCCAAGGTCACACAGGCAGTCATTTGGGGGACACTGGTGTCCACTGGGCCTCTAAAATGACCAGGTGACCTATGGTATCCATCCATCCATCCATCCATCCATCCATCCATCCATCCATCCACCCATTTGTCCATCCATCCATTCATCTGCTGTGTATTACTTACTATTGTGTATTTACTAAGGCAGGAACTAGATTTACCCGCTCCGAGTTATAGGAGTGTCACACTTACTTAGTGCTTCTAGGAAAGTGCAGACAGACAAGTGGAACACAGAGAGCCCCACCTGATCGCACTGGCTGAGGCTCGGGCCCCGGCCCCTCCCGCCCCGCAGACCTGATGTACATCCTGTGGCTGCTCTTCGTGGTGTTGGCCTGGAACTGGAACTGCTGATTCATCCATCCACCCACCCACCCATCCATCCATCCACTCATCCATCCATCCATCCATCCATCCATCCATCCATCCATCCATCCACATGTCTGTGTATCCATTTGTCCATCTGCTGTGTATTACTTACTATTGTGTATTTACTAAGGCAGGAACTAGATTTACCCGCTCCGAGTTATAGGAGTGTCACACTTACTTAGTGCTTCTAGGAAAGTGCAGACAGACAAGTGGAACACAGAGAGCCCCACCTGATCGCACTGGCTGAGGCTCGGGCCCCGGCCCCTCCTGCCCCGCAGACCTGATGTACATCCTGTGGCTGCTCTTCGTGGTGTTGGCCTGGAACTGGAACTGCTGGCTGATCCCTGTGCGCTGGGCCTTCCCCTACCAGACGCCGGGCAACCTCTACTTCTGGCTGCTGATGGATTACCTGTGCGACCTCATCTACTTCCTGGACATCACCGTGTTCCAGATGCGCCTGCAGTTTGTCAGGGGCGGGGACATCATTGTGAGTCACCGGCAGGCGGAGCGGGTGGCTGGGGGCTCCCCCTCCCCACCTGGGAACCTGGAGGCTTCCCCGAGCGCAGCTGCTCCGTTCTGGCTCCTCCTTGTCCAGGGGCTACAACTCTGACAGGAAGGTGGGAGGTCATTAGGGACTTCCATCGCTGCTCCCCATTTCTCGGTCATTATTCCATTTCCTTCCAGACAGACAAAAAGGAGATGCGCAACAACTACCTGAAGTCTCCCCGCTTTAAGGTGTGTGCAGGGACAAAGGTGGTACCTCAGGGGGCCCTGGGTGCTCCGGGGCAGGTGGGACGTGGCTCCCCAGGCTGGCACGGGCTGGGCAGTCAGCAGCCTGTGGGTGGGAGGCCTTCTGCTCTACGCTTAGGCCCTCCTGGGCCTCCTGAGCTCACCTGTCCGCTGAGGGGAGAGGCCCCATCGCTCACCCCCTCCCAGCCCTGGGTTTCCTGTTGCACACGCTTGTGCTGTCCGCTGGGATTGCAGATGGACCTGCTGTGCCTGCTGCCCTTGGACTTGCTCTACCTGAAGTTTGGCGTGAACCCCCTCCTGCGGCTGCCCCGCTGTCTGAAGGTAGGACTGGTGGCTTCGCCCCGGCAGCACTGGGAGCGGGAGGCGCGGGGAGGGTGTCCCCCTCGGAGAGGCAGGGCGAGTCCGATCTGGGTTCGAGCCCTGGCTCTGTCACTTCCTGCCTGTGTGCTTTGGGTAAGTTCTGAGAGCCAGTTTCCTCGCTGGAAAAGGAGAATGCTAATACATACGGCACATGCAGAACATGTGCTACGGTAACATATCTGTCGCTATAGAGACAGATATATACACACATATATATAGCTGACCTTGAACAGCACGGGTTTGAACTGCGTGGGTCCACTGATATGCAGATTTTTACACATAAATACATAGATTACTACAAATGTATTTTCTCTTCCTTACGACTTTCTTAATAATATTTTCTGTTCCCCAGCATCCTTTATTGTAGAAATACAGTGTATAATACATACAACGTACAAAATAGGTGTAAATCAACTGAGTATGTTATCAGCAAGGCTTCCGGGCAAAGTAGGCTGTTTGTTAGTAGTTCATTTCGTGGGGAGCCCAAACTTACACACGGATTTTCGACTGCACAGGGGTCCGCACCCCAACCCCCATGCTCGTCACTGTACGGTGCGGTGGCCGAAGGTGCTCAGCACAGAGAGCGGCTGTTGTGGTTACTTTTATTGTTAGAAAAAAAAGGGTGTAAGTGAGGGGGTTAGGGACACGGTTCGCTATGAGATTGTTTTCTTTCTAAGGTAACACTGACAACAGTGTCCCTACCTGGGACACAGGGGCTCCTCCAAGGCTCATGATCAGAGTGAGAAGGTCTAGGAGGCACCTGAGATTAAAGCTGTCAGGACATAATGGCATGAAATTTCAGAGGAAGAGGCGCCATGGTTGCCACCGGATTAGTAACTGGAGTCTCTGGCCATGACCCTGCGAGGACTCAGGACCTGTGATTTTTAAAAAATATATATTTTATTGATTTTTTACAGAGAGGAAGGGAGAGGGATAGAGAGTTAGAAACATTGATGAGAGAGAAGCATCGATCAGCTGCCTCCTGCACATCCCCTACCGGGGGGGTGCCCGAAACCAAGGTACATGCCGTTGACCGGAATCAAACCTGGGACCCTTCAGTCCCCAGGCCGACGCTCTATCCAGTGAGCAAACCAGCCAGGCAGGACCTGTGATTTTGAACGTCCCCTCTCCAGCCCCCTCCCGAGTCCTGGCACCCCCGGGGGAACTGGGCTACGGCGTGAGGGCAGGGTGTCACCCATGGACCGCAGGCTGCCCTGATGCCTTGTTCTCCCTCCAGTACATGGCCTTCTTCGAGTTCAACAACCGCCTGGAATCCATCCTCAGCAAAGCCTACGTTTACAGGTGAGACACACACACACACACACACACACACACACACGCACACACCCTCCACCCACGCTTCCCCTGGCCTGCAGGCCTCAGCACGGCCGGAAGCCGGGCCCCTTCCTGACCCTCCTCGGAGGGATGTTTGTGTTTCAGGGGAGCAGGGATGTCCCGTTTCCCGTGATTGTGAGAAGGGAACACCTTGGTCGGCACGCATGCCTCACCCCTGTTTCCAGGGAGCGAAGCCTCATGTTGGTCTCAGCTCAGGGAACTGATCCCCCTGCCCCAATCGCTCAAATCTTGGGGGACTGGGAGCAAGGACACAGCGGGCCATCGGGTGGTGTCCAAGGATGGCCAGCAGGGCAGGTCGGGGACAGGTCCTCTCCCTTCTCTCGTGGACTGGCACTTCTGCACACCCTGTCCCTCCTCTGCCCCTGCCCACGGACGCACTGCCCCAGGACTGTGCACAGGCCACTCTGGGCCAAACCAGCCCTGGTCTTGCCAGCGCTGTCCCGAGCCACCACTCCCAGCGCCCAGTCTCAAAAGAGCATCCGGTTGGCTCTGTGCATTGGCTCCTGTGCTGTCCCTCTTGGCCAGTGACTGCCCCCAAGCAGTTGGGCGAGGCCACGCAGCTCCCCCGGGGGCGTCTGTGGGGTGGGTGCCCGGAGAGGTGAGGTTGGCGTGTCCCCCGCGCGCCTGCCCCTGGTGAGATGTCACGGCCACCCTCCCCGCTGCCATGTTCACGCCTCTCCTTCCCTCGCAGGGTTATCAGGACCACCGCCTACCTGCTCTACAGCTTGCACCTGAACTCGTGCCTGTATTACTGGGCATCGGCCTATCAGGGCATTGGCTCCACCCACTGGGTGTACGATGGCGTGGGAAACAGGTGAGCCAGCCTTCCTCCCGGGCCACCCTGCCCGCACAGGGGCTCCCATACACAAGCCCCATCCCCGCCTGCTCCCCAGGCCTCCTCCATCCCAAGGAACTGCCACCGTGATGAGGTTGAGGGGCCAAGTCTCCCGTCCTCGCTCAGCTAACATCTGAGCCCCTGCCGCGTGACAGGCAGAGGGGCACAGACCCGAGCCAGACCCGCTGGAGAGACCCTTCAGGATCCCGGAGTCTAGCCGAGTTGGCAGAGTCCCCGCACGTGTGCATTGGGGTGGGTGCCCTAAGGGCACAGCTGAGCGGGAATGAGTCCACAGAAACCTCAGCACAGCTCCCCGGCCGTCCCTGGCCCCGCGAGGGTTGGCCAACAAGGCGAAACCTACTTCCCTTCGGGCCGGCATGGCTCAGTGGTTGAGCGTTGACCTTTGAGCCAAGAGATCACGGTTCAATTCCCTGTCGGGCACATGTCCAGGTTGCGGGCTCGATCCCCGGTGGGGGTGTGTGTGCAGGAAGCAGCTAATTAATGATTCTCTCTCATCATTGATGTTTCAATCTCTCTCTCTCCCTCTCCCTCCCTCTCTGAAATAAATTTTAAAAAAACATTTTTTTTTAAAAGAAGAAACCTACTTGCCCATCCAGAGAGCTGCCATACACTGTGGGACGTGATCAAATGATGATGATGTTGGTGATGGCAATGATAATAATAATAGCAGGAACCACAGAGCAGTTATAAGGTACCAGCCCTGCTAACACACTCACTCACTTAATCCTCCCAACAATCACACAAGAGAGGTGCTATCATTGCCCCGTTTCACAGACGAGGTAACAGGTGTGCAGCGACCTCTGCGTGCAGCGCAGTTCCTAAGTTAGAGAGCTGGGATTTGAATCCAGGCGGGGTGGCTACAGTGTCACAAATGTCTGCCTGGGGCTGCGGAGGTGGAACGAGAAGGTCAGTTCGGAAAGATTGCATTTGATCTTGGCCTTGGCAGGTGGAGAGAAGGGGCAGAGCATGCCTGGGGGAGGGAGCACCGTGAAGAAAGGTGTGGAGTTGCAGGACAGTGGAGTTAAGGAGCTGCGTGCAGTCTGTGTCCTCCGAGGGGGCGGGGTGTGGAATGACCTGGGAAGGTAGGCAGGGCCTGGTTGCCCAGCAGCCTCCCTACCTGAGCAATTCCAGCCTCACCTTCTAGGCCAGTGGTTCTCAACCTTGTGGTCCTTTAAATGCAGTTCCTCATGTTGTGACCCAACCATGAAATTATTTTCGTTGCTACTTCCTAACTGTAATGTTGCTACTGTTACGAATCGTAATGTAAATATCTGATATGCAGGATGGTCTAAGGCGACCCCTGTGAAAGGGTCGTTCGACTGCCAAAGGGGTCGCGACCCACAGGTTGAGAACCGCTGTTCTAGGCCTTCTCTGTCCGATACTGGAGCCACTAGGAAACACTAGCCACATGGGGTACCGAGCACTTGAGATGCAGGTGCAAGTGAGATGTGTGGGACATATTGGCTTTTTGAAGGAGAAGTCCCTGGCTTTACTAAGATTCTCAGAGGGTCTGTACCCCAACAAACTATGGACCCACGTCCTGGGGCTGGGCCTGGCACCGCCATCGCGGGCCTTCCTCCTGTAGGGCCCCCGGGAGCTCTCGGTGTGCGGGCACAGGGAGCGGAGAACAGGGCCTTCCTCCTGTAGGGCCCCCGGGAGCTCTCGGTGCTCAGCGTGGAGGGCACCCCTTTTTTGGCAACACTGCTCTTTTCCAAAGGAAATCCTACAGAGAACCCCAATATATGGCCAAAGCACAAGCAGTGAAGGAGGACTCCCCTACAAGTCCAGAAGCCCAATACCATGGATAATTATAACAGCGACCATTTGTGGAGCGTCTGCTATGGGCTGGGGCTTGAGGACCCAAGTTCCGACATATCTGGCCCTTCGTCCTGCAGGGTCCCCACAGCCCGGGTAGCATGGAAGACAAGGCTTCAGGGAGGCCCCTGAGATGTGCCAGCCAGTGGACGGGCCCTCCCGCCCGGAAGGGTTTGGGGAGAGGCTGAGGCTTGCGGACATCACGCCTGTTTTCTTCCTGTTGGCTCAGCAGCTCCCAGCTTCCTTGCTCAGTCCCGCTGGCTAAAGGCTGTTCCTGCGCCCTCTGGTGGGCAGGACTGGTGGGACAGGGGACCCCACAGGGCTGGCCTGTGTTGTCCTGCGATCCCGCCCCCCCCACCAGGTGGAAATGAGGGACAGGGCGGCTCAAAGCCCTGCCCAGGCCTCCAGCTGGTCAGAGCCAGAGAGCCCTCCCCTACCATCACCAACCACCGCTGCTTCCCTCCCCATTACGTGTTTGCTTGCCCGTCCCCACTAGACGGTGAACTTCTTGAGGACACGGGAGTCTATTGTTCCCAGAGCAGGCACGTGACGGCTGGCATTTCCTGAGAGTCCACCTGGGCCAGGTGTTCTTCTAGCACAGCGGTTCTCAACCTGTGGGTCGCAACCCCTTTGGCGGCCGAACGACCCTTTCACAGGGGTCGCCTAAGACCATCCTGCATATCAGATATTTACATGACGATTCACAACAGTAGCAACATTACAGTTATGAAGTAGCCACGAAAATAATGTTATGGTTGGGTCACAACATGAGGAACGGTATTTAAAGGGCCAGAAGGTTGAGAACCACTGCTCTAGCACCTCAGCTGTCCTCACGGTCACCTGTGACGGGTGTTTTCTATGAACACGCCCACTGGAGGGAAGGAAGCTGAGGCTTGGTCCAGGTTATGCAGCTGGGGTGGCAGCGCTGGGTTTGCGCCCGGGCAGTCCAGCTTCAGGGCCCGTGTTCCATT